CACTTCGGTGGGAAGGGAACAGCATTCCGTGCGCCTTGGTGTTTAGTCATGCCGGCCACATGACCACGGAAACGTCTTCGGGCAGCGCTGGCTCTTCGGCTTTGAAACGGAGATGAGCACCGCAACCCTAGAGTCGGATTCGACTGGCTTTCGAGCAAGGGAAACCTTTACCTTTATGTGTGTGTGTGTGTGTTATCAGATTGATCTGATTTCTGTGCACTGAGGACAAGCAAGTCCTAGGTTACAAACTGAACTCTCCAATGCAAGAACAAGATGCATTTCTTCCTTTAGGAGGTGCTATTGTCAGAAGAAAATAAAAAGGTTTCAGTTTTGTGTTTGCATGTTGGGTGGGTATTCTGTTTGTAATAATTGTTTGGATACACTATATTTTTAATATGCTAGTTGTGATAATTTCATGCCAAGGAAAAATGTCCATAGTCATATTTTATGTTCCTAAAGTAACAGAATGACTTTCAATCTAGAAAAGACAAAATAAATGCTAATGTAGCATTTTTTTTCAATTTTTCCGAAAATTTCCGTTTCCCCCCGAAAAAACCAGGTTTTTTTCCGAGCTTCAAAATTTCTGGAAATTTTACATCTCTAGGTCCGGCCCAACAAGGTCTCATTTATGTCAGATCCGGCCCTCATAACAAATGAGTTCGACACCCCTGTTCTAAGCCCTTTGACTTCCGTGGACTTCGGAGCGGTTAACTCTGCTTAAGACTGCATTGTGAGGATGTTCACCTCCATCACTGTGGCCCCCAGGTATCTGTCCAGGTTATCTCCTGCCTGACCGGATTGTGATAAAAAGGATAAATAGAACTGAACGTTAACGGTAGATTGATGACCTCTGCCCCGGAAAGCCTGACCCCAGTGGTTTGGGTGGATGCTACAAGCTTAGGAGACAAGATAGAGAATTGTTAGATCCTTTAGTATAAATTCTGTGGGCAAGGAAGCCACCTTGTAGGTCCACCTCCTACCTGACAGGTGTAGGACTGGAGCCCCTGCAACGCCATCCCCCCAATCCACCAGGTAATCAAGTAGGTTGACGCCATGTTTGGATCATATTGAACCAGGATAATCAACAGGATCCCACTCACTTTTGTCTTCTGGCATCGGTCCTACACTAGGGTGACTGAGACCATTTCAGCAGTAACTAGATTGATAATGGATCAAGGGGAGGATTCAGTGGAAAGTTCTCCGGCACGAGCTTCACCAAAATATAGCCAAACCCAAAGAACTTTCTGTTTAATTGTGCTAGAAAGTATTTTGTTTTCTGAGTGGTGCTAGAGAAATAATGACCCCAGTCATGAGAAATAATGTGCACAAGAGCACTTCCATTTATACGGGGCGGGGGGTGATCCAAGGATGTATCTGTCTGGGCAAAGCTAATTCCTCCAGGGGTATGAATGGGGAAACTTGCATGTCGGGGTGGGAATTCTGCGCGTGTGTCAGAATGCACATATAGATTTCATGGTGTGCTGTGCAACTAATGTTAAGTCTTTCACACTTGGTTCTTTGAAGTACATTTAGTATTTTCCCCCCATCTAGTAGAATTAAACACTTTTGCTGCCTTGCTTTGACAGTGGCTCTGAGGCCTTGTTGCACCATTTAAGCGAGTTGAAAGGAATGGCATTGTGGAAACAAAAATATGAGTCTCTGGGACTCGATGTGACGGGAATAGAAGGTATGCTTGCTGGCTCACTGGCTCGAAGATGGATCACAACTTTGGCTAGCTTTAAATTAATGTTGGCTCTCTTTGCAGAAGCGATTGCCGCCGTGGGCGCCTTCATCCTGAAGGCAGACGAGCTGCTTCAGTATGTATGAATCAAGGATGTTATGTGCAGAGGAGTGCATGTTCTCTTGTTCAGTTGCTGCGTTTGTTCAGCTTGGCATTATATAGGCATGGCCTTCAGTCGCCTGCAGTCTAGTTGTATTTTCTGCTGCTAGTCCCCATGTTTTACAGTTATACTTTTCTGAGACCATGGAAGGGCGTAATTCTGCATAGGGTTATGGAACATCTTGCCTACTGATAGCTGGTGCGGCCTGGTGGCCAAGAGTGCAGACTTGAAAGCTCAGTCACGGATTCACTAAGTGACATTAGGACAAGCCGCAGTTTTCCCAGCCTCCGCTCTCTGCCCACAATACGTGGGGTAACAATACTCTCTGTTTCAAGGGGGTAGTTGAATATGGTATAAGAAGTGCACTGAATCTCCAAAGCACTACAATAAAGGAACATTTTTCAGAACACGATGTAGGATTGTTCCTGCACATTAGACCCTGTGCCTGCAATATCTGTACCTCAGCACAGCCTCTCTGCCCCTACGTTACTTGCATGGGTGCCAGGAATGCTGCAAGGGTCAAGACGGAGCTGGCCCTCTGGGACCCTGGTGTGCAGAAAGGCCTTTTGGCCCTTTTGCTGCCCTTTTGCTTAGTGGGAAAGTTCCTGGGGAGCCCCTGGTGGCCAGGAGTGGGAAAAGCCAAGCCACTTCTGCAGGGGCTGTCAGCAGTGAATGATTAATGGTGGATCACGTATCACCCACTGGTGGCAGTGTGGGAGGGAGCAGTGGATGAACTTGATGCCCATATGCGTGGTTGGCCAGGTCTGAGCTAGGCGGCTCCTGTGGGGCTGCCAGCTTGGCTTACTCCTGGGTAGGGTTTCCAAGTGATTCTTCGCTGGGAGCGGGGGGCTCCCGGCCGGCGTTGGGGTTGTGCGCGCGCACGTGCATAGCGCGCGCACACTGTGTGCGCGTCACCCGGAAGTGACGCAGGCACACCCCCCTTGAAATGCAAGTAAACACACCTATAAATCCTCCCCTATATTCATAGACACAGGGCTAGAAGAGACCCTAAGAATCATCTAGACCAACCCCCTGTACTAGGGATGGGCATGAACGGGCCGATGAACTAAAGTTTGTCACGAATTTTGGGCAGTTCGTGGTTCGCGAAGCCATGTTCACAAATGTCTGTGCATTTTGATGCAGTTCATGGTGGCTTGTGGTGGTTTTTGAAGAGCAGAAAAACAGCTGAGCACTCGGCTGTTTAGAAACCCCTGCTTTCTGCCCCCTGTGAAAAGCCATGGGGGAACAGGAAGTAGGGGTTTAAACTTTAAATTGCTCATAAACCAATATGAATTAGGTCGGTTTGTGAACCAACTTCCCAGTACATATGGGAACCACGAACCGAACTGCAAAAATGTAGTTCATGCCCATCCCTATCTAGCACAATGCAGGAAAAAACCCCCCACTCCCCTAGTGACCCCTGCTGTATGTCCAGGGGAAGGCAAAACACCTCCAGGATCCCTGGGCCAATTTGGCCTGGAGGAAAATTCCTTCCTGACCCCACAGTGGCAATCAGCATTACCCTTAACATATAAGAAAGGGCCATGAGAACCAAGCACTAACTCATCCCTTCCTGCCCTCCCTCTCATGAACTTCCTAAATACATAGTGGCTAGTTACGAGAACCCTGACCCAAATCGTCACATTGGGGAAATTTAAATTGGTTCACTTTGTATGAACTGTTTGAAATATTTGGAATATTTACATCGGTTCACATCATATAGACTGTTAAATATTGGTTGGCGCCCCCGTCTTAAGAGAAGAAGATGGTTGATATGATCCAGTTATTTCAAAAACTGTACAATTTTTTTGTAATGAGTATGATTATTTTTGGTCTTTCATACTTAGGTAATTTCATTTTATAAGTTACTTTTGAATAGGTGTTTGGTAGATATATGATAAGCTTTTCATATTAAATAGTATTTTTATATTTAGGTATTTTGATCTAGTAATTTTGTCATGGTAGATCTCTTTGGGCTTTATAATCTAAATTCATAGATCAGCTTTGCTGTCAGATGGCCATCTAGCCTCTTCTTAAAAACCTCCAAAGAAGGAGAGCCCACCACCACCGGAGGAAGCCTGTTCCACCGAGGAACTGCTCTAACTGTAATGTCTCTTAATGGAGAACGGTGCAGCTCATTCTAGCCCCGCAGTCACTACTCACAGGCACAACACAGTTCAGGTCCACGACCTCGTTTATTCAATAGTTTCCTCAATAATAACATAAGCCCCGACCTGCAGGGAAGAAGGCTTAAAAACGGAGAGAGGGAGGAGTGCCTCTCTTGATCCTTTTCAGGTGTATAGAAACAATACAACTCCATGTTAAAGAGATATACACCACACTAACTGTGAGGAAATTCTTCCTAATGTTTAGCCGAAAACTCTTTTGATACAATTTCAATCTGTTGGTTCTGGTCTGACTTTCTGGGGCAACAGAAAATAATTCCGTTCCATCCTCTATATGACAGCCCTTCAAATATTTGAAGACAGTTATCATATCACCTTTCAATTGTCTCATCTCCAGGCTAAACACACCCAGCTCCTTTTACCTTTCCTCCTAGCAGGGGTCATTTCGTAGAAAAAGGGCTAGGGGGACTCATTAGCGTAACTCATTAGCATATGCCACACCCCCTGACATCAGGGGCCCGGCGGTGGACCTGCAAGGCCAGCGGGAGTGCGAGGAAGTCCTGCCAAGGCCCTCCCTGGCCCCAGGCAGGCAGGGGTGGGGAGAGGCGGGGGGGGAGCAACTTACC